GAAAATTTTTGAATTTTTGAAAGTGACAGCTAAACCTAAGGTCTGGGAAAACTTGAAAAGGTCATGGAAAAAGTCATGGAAAGTCATGAAATTTGAAGGGCTCAAAAGAGTACGAACCCTGCTTTAGAATGAAATCAGCATGTATTTACAGACATTTGTCCTTGAAAGGTTATTTGATACTGTTAGTAAATTTGGTAATAATTTATTTTTGTAGAAGACCAGAATTTGATGCTGCTGCCCTTGAAAACAGAAATCATCTGCCAAGCTTAGATTCACTCAGATGGCGAGTTGATGTTGCAATATCCACCAGGTAAGTCAAACTAACATATGGCATTTCCAGTTCAATGTTTTGCATTCCTCTAATATAATGGCATCTATAGAGCAGAAACCCTAGTGGAACACAAAGTCAATCCCCAAAGCCAAATTGTATAAACATGGGATACCATTTGTCCTTCATATGGACTGCTAACAAGTGCATCACATACAGTGCTGGAAATAATTTTTGTGCAAAATTAGGGGGACAATTTCAAAACTTAGTCAGAAAAATGTGTCTGACGGAATATTATTTCATGCACTGACATCTCATGGAAATTACATTGTTTTGATAAGGGGCAGAATATAAGCTTTAGAGTTCTTGGATGTCAAGACTTAGAGGTCTCTGAATAATAAGGATTTTATTTATGAACCTCTACACAGCTGGGCTCTGTGTGCCCATCTAAGGGGGGGTACTTAAGTCCCACCACCACAACCACCCTCCAATGGTTACATCTAAATTGAGAGTTTATTTTTGACTTTATCTTTCAGTGCTCTCAACAGAGTGCTTGAGCCTTCAGTGCTAATGGAGCTTAAACTTAGTGATGGAAAAATCCATACATTTGAGGTTAGTGTTCTATCGTTAATGAAAGTTTCTACTTACATTGAGATTTTAGGGAGAGCAGGGTTTACATATTAAATTTCTTGAATTTTTTGCTACATGTATGAAAACAGTAAATGGTCAAGTTTCTTATTTCTTGTATTAAATAATTAACCATGTAGCAAAATGCGATCATATGATACACCATATCTGTGTTTGTATAACCTTACACAGCCTATAAAATAAAACTTACTAGGTGTTAGATGAAGACTGTGTCATAATTGTATTTTTCATTAAAGATAGTCTTACATCATTCTAGGTATCTTTGTCCAAATTTCATGAATTGAGGTACAATGTGGCATATGTGTTGAAGGAAATGGAGGACATTGAGAAGAAAAGCATTTTAAAGATACAAGATTAACAGTGCAGTGTAGACTTCCTGTAGGTTAGTCAGGTATTGTTAGTAGTGACTTTCTTTCCTTGATTGTAGTTAATTAGTTTAGGTTTGTGGTCAACAATACAATGCATTCTTMCATGGCTTTARTGTCTCTTTTGAAATAACATGCGAAGGAGTCTTGTGTTAGCTAAGGGTGTTTGAGGTGACCAYKGCATGTGGTCAAGTTCATTAGCTTGGGTTAACCTGTGTTGGTCACTTGTAAATGTGAGCTATAACATACTCTGAACAAATATTGAGTACCCTGATTGAACAAATTAAAACACATTAATTGGTTTTAACAACTGGATGGCTGGGGATTGCAGGCCTTTCTGGTGTAGAACTGTCAATGTTCTTGGGAAAATTCTCTCAATGAAAACAAATTGTAAAACAGAAAAATACACATCAGCCCCAAACATCAACAGATTTATTCTAAAAAGTAATTTTATTGATTAATAACTCTTTTGCACCTGCATTGTAAATAAATTAATGAACTTTGCATGAAAAAGCGTTTAGTGCTACATATTACATAGCTTTACATGTTATGATCATGCAAAGCTATGATAATGTTGGTATCACCAATGAAAGTGA